GAAATTCTCATATTCCAAATCCTGAATTCTCTGGAGACTCTGGATATATTGTTCTGAATAAACTGAAAATAGTGATGCACATGTTAAAAGGTAACGGCAAAAAAAAAGTACGTTCACTCACGTTGACCAAAATCTATTACGATTCACTTACCGGCAATGGATTGCTCTACGATAATGCGAATGTGTTTTTTGGGCGGGTTTGACGATAAGAAGCAGGAAAGAAAAGCACAAAGATAAGTAAGTATTCGGTATTATTGGTGAATATAACAGAGAAGAACGAAAAAAAGCTACCACACTTCGATAGAAAGAACGTATCAGGCTTCAAGAAAGTTCTAAGATAAGCAAGTTTATTTTCATTCGTATCAAAATAATTAAGATCTGACAACGCATCATCTTGCTGATCTTTATGCTTAGTGAAGTAGGAAAGTAATTCAGCCTTCTCTTCTTGAATCTCAACGAGACGAACAATTTCTGTTTTAATATTTACGGTAGAACTAGAAGCAGAATCTGACATACTGTAACAATTATTTATATTTGGATAAAAGAGAGTAGCACGAATGGATGAACTAGGAAAAAGATTTTTGGGGGATTTATCGGGTATATATAATCGATTGTCATACAGATTGATCTGACTCATCAGTTGATCAGTTATGCAACTGACTTAATACAGATATCTGTCGCATCAGATTACAAAAATCATGCATTACAATACTTCTTATAAAAAAAGTGCTAGTTTTTTACATATCAGATGATAAGCGAGAAGAATATTCACGGCACTTTATTAATGAGCGATGAAAAAATAAATAAATAGCTTGTTATACACAATAATAATAAGATTTGTAAATTATGCTATGATCGCGAACTTGAGTTTATTGCTTGAACTGTTGCAGGTAAGACAATATTCCGTTCCATTTTTATACGATTCGCCATGTAATCCATAATTCCCATGTTTTCCACAACAGTCGGCTGAGCTAATGCAAAATTATAATTATCAATCCCCCTAAAACTATTTCGGAATTTCAGGTATGTGAAATGTTCTAAGACGGATTCGATAATTAATTCTGGATAGGGTTTGTCTTCGTAAGTGATAAGCTTGAAATCAGAGGTTTGAGATTTGGCTGACTTTATCTCAGCTTTTGATAATTGCCATGGCTTATGTCCGGTTTCTTTTTTATATAAGTTAGACCGAATCTTATCTGTTGGTAAACCAGTTATCTGGCATGCCAATCCAGATACACAGGAGTTAATACTTTATTGGGCTTGCTTATATTGCTTTTTTTATCAATTTAATTAAGTAATAGTTAGCGTAAATTTAAAAAATATCACATAATAAAGTGTGAGCAAATACAGGATCACAAAAGTGATCAGACTATGCAGTTATCTCAACTTCATGCTGTTTACATTTAATAAAATAGGATCCAAATGTATGTCTACCTTCTATACTTTCTTTTTTATCATGATTTAACTTGCATAATAGGGATGATGTCTTGTCAGTAATCATAATAATCAAAATTTTTACTACTAAATTCTCTATATAAAGTAGGATATTGATCCAATATTTTGTTGTGAAAATAGGATCAGTCATGATTTGGCTTAGATTGGAATGCAGAAAATACATTTGCAACCTCAGTCTTAATCTAATCATTTCCTGGGGGAATGGTTTTTAAAATCACATGATTTTGATAATCACTAGTATTGATCTATAACATTTTGGATTTGTGCATTAGTTAGTTTTGAAATCTCAGTTACACTATATGAGACTAGCTTAATTTTATCTATTCCAATCCTATTTTT